AGTTTACATTGGAAATGAGCCCGAATACAAATGGTCTGAAATAAATTGGGCTAACAATACATGTATAATAATTGTACAATAAAAAAATGATCCTCTAACATAAATGACCATTTTGCAGGTTGACCTGCCAACGTGTTTACTATATTTATTAAACATAAAAAAATATTATAATGTCTCAAAAATTCAGAGTAAAACTTTCATTTTTAAAACAATAAACCATACAAATAAGTTGTTCCTCAACCAATCAAAGTGATTACATCATTTAAACATCGGATTAAAAATCATAAGTAGTCAATGTGGTAACTATGGGGGATGATGTGCAGTCATGTCGGGCCTTTCCCTTTAGAATCGAAAGTATCCGAAACCATAAACGTAAAACCGTAAGGACAAAGCTTAATGAGTTCCCCAAAATTCCACATGTCACACATAGAATAAAGTTTGCTATGTTTCATCCATAGTCTTACAGTTACTATCATTCCATGAGTCGTGTCATGGTCTTTCCTTACAATGTCGGGGGCTAAAACTCGGGTCTTACAAACAAGTGTCAAGAGCCACCTCCCGGTATTCCCTGCAAGTATCATAAAGACAACTAGCATTCTACATATAGCTACCAAGGTCTAGACCTTTGTATTTCATACAAATTGTCGGGAGCCATATCCAGGTCTTTCATACAATTACCAAGTATCACCACCTAGTCTTCCTACATAACATAATCCAGTGGGCCAGCATTGGTGCCTTCAACCCATTAAACAGTAAGGAGACTCGCATAAATCACAGCACCGACTAAAACCCGCTCAAAGTCGCACCGACCATAACCAACAGCTCTCACCGCCAAAACATGGGTGTTAAACACTTCCTAACAATCCACACATGGCAAACCCTAAGTCTACCTTCTAAAAATATAAATTTGATCAAAACTCGACCCATGCCAAAAGCCAATGGTCAAAGTCAACGGCCAATCGTTGACTTTAGTCAACCGCCACGTCGTGGCCCTCATACAATCGAACAGTCGAGAATTTCGTGGTCGCCATGTCGTGGAGACCTATGGCCACGCCGTGGGTACTGGGTTTCCAACAGCTTAATGGATTAATTCGTTTTCTTCAACTCCAAGAGCTCTAAAGCTCAGATTTGGTCCATACTGTGGTCTAAATGGATAAAGTTTCCAACTTTATTCATTAAGACACCCAAAGAGATCAAGTTCTCCAACCCTAGGTCCAAATAAAGCCAAATACTACAATGTCTTAACCATTGAGCCCTTAATCTAAAAAAGTCTTTAACCCAACCACTCAAGAAGGGTTTCTAATGCTAGATCTATCATAAAGGTGAAAGCTTTATAGACATGCATGACCAAAACATGTCAAAATCCATTTTGGATCAAAATAAACTAAAAAATAACCAAGACTCATGCAATTGACAAGAACTCCAACCAAAGTCCAGATCCACAACATATGTTGCTCTTGGGACTCAGGAGAGTCATAAAGTTGCCAACTTTATGAGTTCATTCCTTCCAAACTTGCTTAAGCATGAAGAACATGTGACAATATCTTAGATTTAGTCACTTCAAGCCATAAAGTCTGAGCCTTTGACACTTACAAAGGTCTAGAAGCAATGTGAGATGTTGATGATGTTGTTTCCTTGCAAGATCCACTAGTAGAGCACCTTCTTCTCCTTATTCTCTTCTTCTCCAAACTAACAAATGCTCCAAAGGCCACAAATTACCAAAGGAATGGGGGATAGGGTTTCTTTGAGGTATAAGAATGTTGGTGGCTGGTTATGAACCCTAGAAATGGCTTAGAGGGGTTTAAATACAAAGGGAACCCTAAAAGAATCATGGGTTGGGCCAGGACAGGTGCCACGTCGTGGCAACCCTTGGCCACGATGTGGCGGTCTAAATAAACACGTGATCCTTCAAATCATTGTCACTCGTGGGCATCCTTGCACCACGTCGTGGCACAGAGTTTCCTCAAAAACTTCATCTTTTGTCCCTGATAAATATAAATTTAAACCAATCTGAGACATGGGTGTTACAAATATATTTATTAAATAAATTAAATCGGTAAATCAAGTCTTAAACGATTATGACTTGCAAACCCATACTGGCGGATCTATAGTGGTGCACGCAGTGGAAAAAAATTCGATTTTTTACCTATTTTTCATACGCCGGCAACATCTAGTATGAATTTCTACGTCCACGCTTGTGAACCCAATTATAATCAACGAATCCAAGTATGGCCCAAAAATCCATAAACCCGTAATGAAACCAACGTTACCTTGACATCACTAACTTTACCCAAAGTCTTGCAATAGGCCCATAACTAACTTTCCTCTTCAATGAGACTTTAGCCAGCGACCAGTTTGGTACCTAACCCGGTTCATATATATGTACCAAACCACTAGCCAGCTGGATTGCATTTTCTCAGGAAAAGAGCCGTTGGAGAACGGGGCTTCCTTCGCCCGACCCGAAACACCATACCCGAATAATTAGGCGGTTTGAAGCATCAGCTTCTAGCGATTCTTGCCGTTGGATTAAATTTGGGAAAATCTCTTGTCTGTTCAATCGTCGCTTCCATAATCATTTGAGCACATCGATGATGATGGTGGATAATGATTTGCAGACACAGACACAATTGCAGTCGGAGTTCCAGTACTGGTTTCCAGTTCTTCGCCGATTCGGCCCTGACGATCCCTTCTTTGCTTCTGGAAATATTGAACGTGAACTTCTCGCCAAACAGGTTCCTTTCCTCTCCGTTCCTTCGTTTCGTCTGTGATTTGATTTCTACGAATTTCCCTATGTGATTTCAAGATTTGAGATGCTAATTTTTATTAGAGGTTACACATGTACCAATGAGAGATCCGACCGGTTTAATTGTCATGTCCAGAATCATTTGTTGCTATTGGAATTCAGACATGACAACCGTGTCACGGATGGTGTAATTGATCAAAAACTGAAAAGTTTGTGAAAAATTATACCACTCGGGCAAATTAAAGCGTTTGTTTTTGGACTGGTAGAGGTGATAGTTGTAGTTTTTTTATACTTGAGTGCAAGAATAGAGAGATTCAAGGAACCTACTGAATAAGTTTGATGCTCACATTCACAAAGAAAACAGCGTACTCCTAGGCAACCAAGGGTACTGCACAGTTTCTCTTTATGATTTTTAGGTAATCATAGTTCCCTGTGACTATGGCATATATTTGATAAAACTGGGAATAAAGCGTTGAAGAGTATGGATTGGTTAGGTGTACACATGACAAATGGGTGATGCATTGGTTAGGAAATTGAAGATGAATTGTTGTTGAAAATGATCATAAATTGGTGATGAAAAACTACGAGTTGGTGATAAATTAGTGATGATATTGCAAAAACTACAAGTTGCTAATTCATGCCATAACCCCTATTTTCACAAACTTATGCATGGTATTGGTAGCATACACCAACAGTTAACTTAGCTTTAATGTGCTTGGTAATTTTTGTATATGCTATCATAACAATTTTAACAACTCATTCAACACCTAGAATTCGAAAGCTGACAGGATCTATTTTTATTACTTAATTGTTTGTATGTATGAGTGACACATCTATAAAAAACTTCAATATGTAACATAATGTGTGTTTATTAGTATCCGATAAGTTCCAAGTACATGGTTAGCATGATGGTAGATTTTAACTATTTCTTTCTCATTTTGATACCCAGATCACACTAGATTTAAGTGAAGAGGAAAAACAAGAGATTAGAAATTTTGAAGACAAGTACAGTGACAATTTTAAATTTCATTCCTCTTACTTCTCAACATTCATATATATTATCAAAAATACTATAAGGAAAAACATTAACACAAATTTATTTGACCAGAGAGGTGTTGTGTCCAATTGTTGGTTGTGGGGCAACCTTGAAAACATTGACCGAGTTTGAAGATCATTACAATGCACGCCACACTTCCTCTTGCTCTGTCTGCTCAAGAGTATACCCCACATCTCGCCTACTCAGCATACACGTGTCCGAGGCACATGATTCCTTTTTTCAAGCAAAAGCAGCACGAGGTTATCCCATGGTAAAAATTTCATCTTATTTCATTTAAAATATTATTTAAAAAATAATAATAAAGTTTGGTTGTTTTTCCTTTTGGAACAGTATGAATGCCTTGTTGAAGGGTGTGGTGTAAAGCTGAAAAGCTACAAGTCTCGGCATCAACATCTAATGGACAAGCATAAGTTTCCTTCGACATATGAGTTTTTGAAAAAGTCGCATCCTTCAAAAAAAGAAAGGGTGAAGAAATACCAACGTAAACAAAAGCATGTGGCAGATGAATCAAGTGCAATGCAAGTGGAAGAAGAGACTATGGATGGGCTTGTTTTAGGTGTTTCCAAGTTGACTACTTCGGATTCGTCTCCTTCGGTTGTAAGTTTTGGTCGACGCCATACACGTGGGTTGACGTTTCTACCTCGATCTGTTCAACGTGAAACAAAGAAATGAAGGTCAGTAGGGAAATTTACAATCAACTTTAATTTTGTTGCCTTATAGAAAGATTTAGGGGAATAATTCATTCTATAATGAATTCAGGTTTGTGACTTTTAGGTTTTTTGAAAGAATATATTACGTGTATGGATCTTGAGACACTTTTGAAGGTACCTAAATTGGGGTAGAATCCAATTCCATGAAAAGTTCGATGGAATCCAGTCGGTGGTTATAGTAGTGAAAATGTGGATTTTTTTTATAGATTGCTTATAGTGTTTCTTTTGTAGGATTGTGTTTTATATGATATGACTATATCACGTATGTTAGGTGATTGTTACCAAAACATTGTGCACATATTGTTGTTTGATGATTTTAGTATCACTTGTATTATTTTGGTGTAATTGGAATTTATATAGTGCCAAATGGCATGCTTGTCACTCAAACCATGGTCTAGTACAAGTTAGATGGCAAGCGTGCAAACTTTGTATAAGTTAAGTTTGATCCACACACCGACCCCATGAACGACCAAGTGAACAAGACTTTTTCCCACACACATTCTCACACATAGATCTATGAACTACTCAAGACAAGCCTAGCAATCTAGGGAACAAGGCTTTGTGTCCCACACATAGACCACTCATGCAAGCCAAACGTTTGAAGACGACAAATGGTAGTAGTCAAGGGGGCCCGCACCTTGTGGTAGTCATGCTAACGAGTTGACTTGGGTAGCATAGTAGGAGAATGCTAATATCCATATTTGGGACTGTTCTGGTCAGTTTCGTTGTCTGGCTTCTAACTTGCTTGGTTTTGGTATGTTTGACTAGCTTAGGTTTGGGATTGACTTAATCTTGGTATGTTTGGAAACCACTTCGTTAGTTTGGGGATAATTTGACTGGTAAAACTAACTTGTAAGTTTAACGAAGAAGTAATTGATTCCAACTTTCGAAAATCGTTATTCTAGTTATCGTTATCCATTTTTATAAGTATCATGAGCATAAATTGACTTGTTATACTTCTCATTTTTAACTCTCCCAAGATTACAAACAATTAAATACAAACACTTGTTTAATTTTGTGCCTATAAATTTAAGTGTTTTGTTGTAAGATTATCCTAAGAATTTATTTGCGGATTACCATGCATAATGAGTAAAATAGATTTCAAGGAAAGTGATTACATGATCTTACAACTATCCAAGCAGCATAATTATCAACAATTCCATTTTCATCCGGATTTATAACAAATATTACATCCTGAACTAAAAGTTTGGGGATGGGTAACGACTTGGGTTAACGGTCACAACTGGGATTTGGGTTAACGGTCACAATTGGGCCTGAACCGCTCTTGATTATTAAGGGCTATATTTTTAAATAGTGTCTACAAAATTGTTTTGAATAAATCAAGATATTTTAGCTTCTAAAATTAGAGTTTTTGACAATTTTAGTTTTGTAAGAAGAATAAAAATAGAGCTTTTTTAAATAGCTCTAATTGATTTCATGAAACATAATACACAGAAGTTTTTTTTTTAACTAATAAAAAGGATTGAATATCACTGAAAATCAGAAAATTATATTTGTATTATATAAAAAATAATAATAATAATAATAATAATAATAATAAAAACACAAGTTTGCCGACTTAGGGCAGGAGGTAAGTCTTTAGGACGTAGACATTAGAACTTAATTAAGTTTATTAATTTGAAGACAGAAGTACAAACAATATGCTTAAGTGGACGTAAAAGGATTATGTTTTTGATATTTTGGTTAGTATACAAGGGTGATTGTACAAAGGGATATAACCATTTTCAAAACCGGAACCAGAATAAGCGAAAACCAATTAAAGAGTGAACGGAAACCAGATCAAATACCCCTAACCGATTCTAACCGGTTCCGATTCTGGTTCGATTTTCGGTTAAAAAAAAGCTAATCCTTAATTGTACATCTCAAATGAGTCATAAATATCTATTAAAAAGGTAGTATAGTTTACTTATTGACTATACTTTTCTTAGGCAATATTTGTATAATTTTTTTGATTTCGATTTAGAAGTTTTAAACACCTCTATTGAATATTGATTATAAAATAAAAGACATTATAACCGAAACATTACGTAAACGATACGGCATCGTATCTGGCAGATACAAACTAAACAGAGAACAAGTTAGAAGTCGTCAACGTGCTGACTGTACAGTATTATCCATCGTGGCATTGCCAGCAAGGAAAGGATGACGAAACTCCATCCACGTTCAGCCTACCTAAAAGAAAAAAAAGTAAACAACTAAAATAACGAATTACGAAAAGGTGTCTAACCATTAGAAATTGGCAATTTTGATCCTTTTCTTTCTGATTTTGAAGCTTTAGAGTGGAAAGCAAATAAACCATATAATTCGTTTACTCCTTAAGACCAATCGCTAAAAATCTTTAGTAGGAGTACCATAACATCCTATCACCTAATCCTATCTTTTCTATTTTTAGAATTTGAGAGAATTTAATAAACTAATACTTTTCATGTCCTATCATGTTATATTAAGGTAAAATGATCCAAAAATTCAAAGTAATTTAATATAAAAAAAATTGTACAAAAAGTATGATATTTTTATGATTTTTCATACAATTGAACGTAGCTCTTATTTTATCTTTAAGAAAATAAATTATTTTTATGTTGATCTATTTAATTGTTTGTTAAATGTTAAGTTACGAACTTACAATACACAAGAATATTACGTTTCTAATGTTTTGGAATGACTATGGGCACGATAAATTATTCATTTGAAGGTTCAAAGCTCATGTTATACAAACTTGGATCAAATTGATTAGAGAATCTCAACAGAACCACCAAAAAAACCTCAAGGGACCATTATGTATATGTATAAACGTAAGGGTCATTTTTGTAATTATTGAGATAATAAGGTGAGCGAATTGTTTTTTTGGTTCAACGCGTATAACCCTTGCTCTCGTCTTCTTATTTCTTCCGCATCTCCATTCAAATCCCTAATTCTCTTTCCAGATCTGATATTTCTCTCGATCTATTGATAATGGATGCTTTGGATTCAGTCTTCGAGCCATTGAGAGAGTTCTCAAAGGATAGCTACCGTCTAGTCAAGAGATGCCACAAACCTGATCGTAAAGGTACGCGCTACTACTACTCAATTACAGTTTTGATCGACTCATTTCAATTTCAGATCTTGGTTTCGTGTTGTCGATTTCAATATTATTTCTCTCTTGTACAGAATTCTCGAAGGTAGCGGTTCGTACGGCGATTGGTTTCGTGGTGATGGGATTTGTTGGGTTCTTCGTTAAGCTCATCTTCATCCCTATCAACAACATAATTGTCGGATCTGTTTAGAGGTGAATTCATTTCCTTTTGCTATATTTACATTTACAACATAATTATTTTGACTTGATAGTTGTTAAGTGGGGATTTGATCTATGTTCACGCAGTCGATCTTGTTAATCTCTTTAATCTTAGAATTTACCAATCCATTTAAGTTGGTTACACGCTTAAGGTATTGGTCATTTAGCTTGATCTGCTATGGTTCTTGCAAACTTCACCTAGATATGTTGCTCTGCAATGAAATTGAACATGCATCTGTCAATCTTGATCTGACGCTTAAGCATTCATCTCATTGGATCAGAAACACGTATTCACACTTGTTAGGAGATAGAAACGTATATATAAAACGGAAGCAAGCTAGTTGACATCAACATGTGAATAATTTCTTTGGCAAGAAGGGTTGGGCAGTCTGTTGGTAGATTTTTAAGATTTTCTTTTTATCAAAATAGCACAGATACACTCAGGACAGATGCTAGGAGTAGATAGGTCTTGTCTCAATGTCCATTACAAGAGCATTTTCATGAATCACCGCTTTGCATCTTATATTGGTTTGGTGACATCATTACATATCTGCAGACCGCAGCTAAAGAAGTTTTGTTGACGAATGAATCTGCATCACAATTTTGGCTTAACATGTGCATTTTTTTGGGCTGATCAGGTCATACAATCATGAAGGGATGGATGGAGGACGTTTAGCTGTGTGGAAAATGGTTTTACATCGAGAAGTATTGATGTATTGTAGGGAACTTTTCTGGTGTTATGTTCAAGTAGAAAGAGATTTGTTTTTTGATACTTTAAATCTTCAATGTTGAACCTTATATACTAGTTTTTACATCATCTGCCTTTTATTTTACTTGTTTGCATCATTTTTTTTTCACTTCTAGCCCCAATGCTGATTGTTGATGGTTGTTCATGTTGTATGCTAAATCTGTGGATTTTCATTTTAAATGGTGGTTGTGGTGGTGGAACATGATCTGAGAATAGGACATTGCTGGTGATGATGATTATAAAGTTAATTATATATAAAAAGTCCACTTGGACATAACATGTACAACTGTTGCCATGTAAATGCCACATCACCCACTGATGTATGGCTTCATTATTGAATAAAATTATGAGATTGACAAAAAAAAAATATGTACCAACTTCTTGAGGTACAATCAAACGAATGCAAACCAGTTATAGCCTATATGTGACATTAATCCACTGATTTATGTCTTCATCTCAAAAAGTGAAAGAAAGATTGTATAAAATAGAAGAAAGACTGCATAAAACAGAATATGCCTGTATCAAGCTGTAAGCTTTCTTTTTAATATGTAGGCTAATAAAGAGTAGAAGCTTAATATGGTTCGAAGTAGGAAAAAACTTAAAAGAGTACTTTACAGGCACCATTTTCACAGAAAATAATACACATACAAAAAAAATAATACTTGTAAACTGTGACACAGACCTTGTCCAAATATTTATCATCCCTCATGAATCAAGATTACATTGTGAAGTCTAAATCAGCAATCGGCAGTGGCAATGACAGTATCAGTAGCAGTAACAGTTCCTTTAGCTGAAGCCAGCACCAACAGAGGTTGGACAGCAGTCCCTTCCCTAAGCTCTTTTCTTGCTTTCCTGCGTTCACGCTGTAGCCTGAACGATTCTCTCTTCCTATTTCTGTAACTGTTTGGATTTTCTGGCTGCACTTCACGCGGGTAAACACTCACCTGCACACACACACAAATTTTATCAAATGAAAGCACACAGCTGAAATGGGGTTTGAGAAATTACAAGTATTTCACCTTTTTTCTATCAGGTCCAAATTTCTCAAACTTCACCAATCCATCAATTAGAGAGAAAATAGTGTGATCTTTGCCAATCCCAACATTCTTTCCTGGATGCACCTGGACAAGAAACCAAAAACTGTTAACGAGGCTATAAAAATGGTACATACTTTCTCTCAATCATATGATATACTATTTCCAGGTTTTTTCAGACACTCAGGGTCCTTGAAGGCTTGGCTTCAACTCAAGTTTTTTAGGGGCTAGACTAGAGTGGCTAAAAAATCTTTAGCGATCTACCCCGGACAAAAATTATAGTTGGTTACCAGAATTAGCATTAACACAATACTAAATGTAGAAAACATCAAGATAATGGTCAGTTAGCTGCAGAGTAATACAAGTATCTTCTGTCAGCTTTAAGATACTCAACCTCAAACAAGACTCCATCTCCATAGAACTATACTATACAAGATACACACACACACACACACAATTAATAAGCTTAAAACCTGTGTTACCAACCATATATGATAAACAGTTTGGCATGTTCACCATTTCTAAACATCTAATGCATGCCAATAAGTTTATACTCATCCAAAGCTCCACAACTATCAATTCATCTCAAACACACATACTGTGAGATTTCAATAAAAGGTTCCCAAAACACGAAATATTCAACTACATCCAGCCACTCGACTCAACCAACTATAATAGGCTCATATCCAGATGTCTCGTTTGTCTTTGACTTCACAAATAGCTTTTTAGCTCAAATTGCTCCAACAGCTCTTTGTGAATTGTGATCACATAAGGAAATATGATTAAGTTTACCGTATGAGAGACAGGGTCATAGGGGTCCTGATTCAATATAAGGGCAAAATAAATATGATTCAGTTATAGCTGCCCGCCTAGTTCCTGATGGAAGAGGGAACATATATTCGGTTTTACACATCAAATCTCATACATTATTCATATGATTCAGGTCCAATTGAACTGTTAAAACACATGTTGGTTTTTTAGCACAAACTGAATGATTTAAATGTCAAAGGAATGTTGAGTAAAAGAAATCCTTCCTTTTTACTAATGGCTGGTTTCATGCGTCTGTATATATACTTGATTTAGGGCTTACATCTACGAGCAAAAACTACATCGTAGTTTTCACACAATTTCAAAGCGTGTATATATTTCACACAATTTCAAAGCAATCTCATGTAAACGAAGCTCATATATATACCTTTGTTCCGCGTTGTCGAATAATGATTGCGCCAGGCTTCGCAAGTTGGTCTCCGTAAATCTTAACACCAAGCCTCTGACCTTTTGAATCACGACCGTTCTTTGTACTTCCAGCTCCTTTTTTGTGCGCATTCTGTATCGTCAATGGGGTTCTTATCGGGAGCGAAATTGAAATCTTACGCGCAGCGGGAACCGATCCAAAATCTCCTTTGAAGAAGGAAGAGGAAGAGCTTGAACCAAACGAAAGTCCTCTAAAAGCTCCAACCAAATTAAAACTAAGCGCTGTCGCCGCCGCCATCGCTCTGCAAAAAGGAACAACATTTCAAAACTCAAATTACACATACATATGATAGATAGATTTAGGTTTGGTGTTCTTACTCGACGAGAAGTGAAGAATGTTTGCCTTCAGTGAAGGATAGGATTGGGAGAAGACGAAAGTTATTACTAGCAGTAGGACTAGAATCAGGGGTATGTATCTTATCTTTTGTATGTGCGTTCATGTAGTCATTTTCTAGGAAATCTTGTGGATAAATTACCTGATCTTGCCACGTTCGCAGGTCTACGCTAAAAACAGAAGACCAGCTTACACCAGATTCCTTTAAAAAAAATTAATTAGCAAAGGGGTTCATGTCATATCAACCTACTTTTATTGGCTAAAAGAATAATGAAAATTTTTAAAAAAAATCCCTAAAATCTTCGATTAACCCCACTTACCATTTTATTCTCATCGAACTATTTTTTTCTTTTATCCTTTACTTTTAATATGAAACCGAGAAGCTTGTTTCACTGTAATCAGTATCGGGGGTAGAAGAGAAGTGGCGAAAGATGAAGAAAGTTATGTAGAGATTAAAGGGAACGAAAAGGGAGAAAGAAAATGGTTTTATCCTTGTTTAAAAGTGATGAAGGCGGTGGAAAAGATGTACGCATCTAGTTGGAAGCGGGAGAGGTGGAGCAGACCAGGATCAAAAGGAGAGAAGCATATGGCGGACATGCAACAAATCGTGCCAATCAAGAAGAGAAGAGGTCGGAGTCAATTGAATGAGGAACGGATCCCACCCAACGAAATGGATCCAACCCAGCGAAACGGATCTACACACTGTGTCTATAAAATCGGAAACCATATTACTGTTCATCAAACCACTTTTATTGTTCCTAAACCATGGGTATTAATAGAGTATATAAATAATTTAATATAGATAAGGTATAAAAGTAATTTTTATTTTTTTAAATCTATTATCTAAATTCTTTAAATCATAAAAATATTATAATTATTTTATTTATTTATCAATATTTTGTATTTAAAAATATTTTTTTACGTTTTATTAGAATAAATATATTTAATGTTGTTTTTTTATTATGATATTTCGTTCATTTTTTTTTTTTGACTTTTTGATGTTTCATTCATTTATATTATTTAATCGTAATTTTTTGTCACCCAACAATTATTCATTGTTACACAACTCTTCTGCCTAAAGTACAATAAAAATTCATGGAATTTTTCATGGGTTGGTTCCTATATTACATTCGCCATCAGAAGTGAGCCGATTTATGTCTAATCCAGGGAGGGAGTATTAGGAATGTGTCAAGTGGTTGTTACGCTACTTGAAAGGTACTTATGAGGCTACCTTATGCTTTAGAAGGAAATGGTGGTTTTGGAAGGTTTGTTGATGTTTATTTGAGGGTTGTATGGATTGGGAAAGAGCACAATCGGTTATGTGTTAACATTCATAAGTATCGATACTAGTTTGATGTTTAGGTTACAGAAGAGTGTTTCTTTTTCAACAAAATAAACATAGTACATGGTGAATATTACTCTTTCAACCACATAAACAAAGTAAATGGTGATTGCAGAAGCAAGCAAAGAGCTTATATGGTTGAAGAACTTCACATCAGAACTTTAGATGCAACATGGAGATTGTGTATAACACTGTGACAACCAAAGTGCAGTTCATTTGGCAAAGAATCCAGTGTTTAACAGTATAACGAAACAGATTCATATGAGGTACCACTTTATTTGAGAACTGATAGGTGATGAGACTCTGAATCTGAAGATAATCCATGGTATGAAGAATCCAGCAAACATATTTGACAGGGTGATGATTGTGGAGAAGTTGAAGTTGTGTGTGCCTTTAAATTCCAAGTACTTGATGAGAATGTACGGAAATTCATGTAACCTAATGTATCAAAAGCCATTCGACAATATCAATAAAAGTATTTCTCTCATGTTCACCCCTTAACGTAGTTGATCACTTTGATCGTGTGAACCATGTAAATTGATTATGTCTTTGTTTTTCCATTTTGAATTTATGACTCTGTAACTGACATCGTTTATCACATATTCTAGTGCTTAAACGCTAACATAAACCCTCTCCTTTCAACTCACCAAGAAAATACAAACAACTACAAACCTTTTCATTGCCATAACCAAACCTGACATATGAACAAACAACAAAAATTTAAAGACACCCCTTCACATTCATCACCACCACCCCCAAACCAGCTCAGAGATCTGAAAATTAAATTACGTACATTTGAAAAATCTAATCCATTGGATTGGGCTTTTCAATCCAACAACTATTTCAAATACTACTCCATCCCGCCACAACAACGAAACTGATTATCTATTTTTTTACTTCATGGGTCAAGCTTTGTGTTGGTATAAGCATCTCGTTAACAGCGACTTGTAGTGTACTTGGCAACAATTTTATCATGCCTTAGAATCCACTTTGGGCTATCAGTGTATGACCACCATCAATCCATATTGTTCAAACTCTGTCAAACCATTATTGTACTTATCTATCATATAAAATTCGAAATAAATAAGCAACAGTGTCATTGGCTTATCACTGTAAGCACTCCTCAATTGTTTTATTTATTTACTACGCCACGACATTCAGTCTGAAAATCGTCCCCACAATCCATAATCTCTACATCAAGATTACGGTTTATCCAACTTAATTGAGGATAAACTCATTAATCATCGACCTTGATACCAACCCACACCACGTACCTACTATGCATCCACCAACCCAACCCAGAAGAAGTTACCCTTATTGACCCTAAACCCACTCACTACTTCACCCCTACTACCTTTACTACCCAAAACCAACCCCACCATGACCTTCAAGAAAATATGATCTTATTTCCCTCAACACGACATATATAAGCACCTGTTGGGATTTTATTCAAAAATTGTTTCTTAGACACAAAGATAGCAACGAAAGACTTTAATTTTGAACAAAATAAAACAAGTTTTATTCCCACCAAAAGATCATTTTGCAAGACTTAGAAAGATTAAAACAAACATAGAAAGAAAAGTATTACAACCTTTGAAGACTTTGGTTCCATCTGGCAATTAGGAAGTTGATGAATATGGCTTAAGCTCTAAATTAAGAGCTCTCTAGAAATATCCACCAAGCAAGATGAAACCAACATTATATGCTAGTAAACACTTGTATAAACTTGTTCTTAAGCTTAAAGACTTATAAATAATAAGTGCTTAAAGAGAAGCAACTTTTTGTCTTCATTTATAGACATCAAATAGAAGAAGAAGAAGATGATGATGATGATGAGGGAAGAGGGCTTCGAGACTTCGAAATTTGGCAGCCCTTAGGATCTCTTTTAGCTCTCGAATTTGGTCTCCAAAGAGGAAGAAAATAAGTGCAAGAAAATGCAAGAAAAGATCAACCTCTTTCACTATTTAAGTGTCTTTTAAATACTAAAGCATGCAACAAAAAGCCAAGATCAAAAAGCAAAAGAGGTGAGGCTTGTCTAGTATGCATGAGAGACACAATATAATAATGAAAAGCATTACATAGCCTACGCCTAAGCGTTTTCGACCATTGTGTAACAATAAGACAAAATCTAAATGTTTGTTACACATTCCATGACTAGTTATTTAAGTTGTAAACATTTTGTTACCTAAAGTACCCAAAAGTTTGTACATAACTTAAATAATCATACCATATGATAATAAGTTAATTTTGTTCTCTTTATTATTATTTCCTAGAAATAATAATTCCATCATGTTAGAAATACATTATTTCCCAAAATAATGTTTTTTCAGTTAAATACAAGTGTTGATATATTTATTAATAATCAAATTATACTAATAAATAATCAATTGGTGGTAACTTGATATAACGTGTAACCATATAGGATCATATGTTACTAGCAATATTATTCTATAATGACTCTTGGGCATACAAGATCTTTCAATCTCTCACATGCACAACACATCATAGATTGATATAAACAGTGGTGAACGTCTATCACAATTTCACTGTCCCCAATAACACATGACGAAGAATGTCATTCATCAACATCCAATTCCCAAAAGCTCAAAGCTTCAAATGATGTATAAGGTAAGTTTATCAATTATTCCTTTGTTACAGACATCCCATTGAACATGAGACTTGGATCGCAATCAATTTCATTTGGTGTTCAACTTTGGATAACGTGTGTTAGATGTCTAGCTCTCAACACATGTAACAAACCGTTATTTCAAACCTATGTAATAATGTAGGTCAATTTGTAGTTCTTTTAAAATAATAAAG